AAATATTATTTACACATTCAATAAATAATTTGAGCAAAAATAAAGTGGAATTAATTTAATTCTATACATTTTAAACAGTACTTAAAGTGCTAATAACTTATCAAATTTCAAGCTTATTTTTAAATAAACATTGTAAAAAATTCGAGTTTATTATTATTTTTTTATATTATTTTTTCTTGTTTCTTTAGATTTAACATTTGTGAATTTTATTTTGTTTTTTATTTTTACAAATTTTCTCGTCACATATTTCTCGACATTTACAATACTTTTCTAATATTTTGTTCGTGCTTGTTACTCCATGCTTTGTTCATTGGAATTCAATACTGCTGTTTCCATCTCGTCAATTTACGTAATATCGTTGCATTAAGTTTAAAGCGTAAACGTTTTATATATATATACTTTTTTAAGGTAACACCATTGGTTTAAAAATATATATATATAAATCTAGAGTAGCGCTTCCTGCATTTAAAATTCACATTTGAATAAAATAATACTTGAAAAAAACTGTTGCAAACAGAATAATTTTTTTCTGTTTTTTGTCTTTTATTTTCCTTACTTGAAATGTGACTATTACTGTCTTAACATATAAATATAGCAAATCATTAGTTGTCTAGAACATTTTTACCATTACATTCGGAGTTGTCACTTTGATTATACACCATCCCTTATCATTAATGTAAATTCCAAGTGATTTCCGATATCAGGAGCTATCCTCCATAAAAATTGGATAGACTGTGTACTGGTTAGTGTTTATCTTACTATTATTGATTACATCACAAAAATAAAAATAATCTCAATTTATATTTGTATATAAACATTCTCTTGGGGGGGCGAATTAACACCGCCATTTACCATTGTATTAATAATAAAAAAATAATAGTAAAATTTGTAAATGGTTAAATGCAATTATTTTTTTCAAATTACAGATAAAGTAATTAAATTTATTTATATTATTAATTTTGATTTAAATTCATAATGTATGAAGCTTCTCATAAAGAATGTTGCAGTTATTTTTCGTCGATGCAGTTTATTTCCAGGTCACGAATCGTTGTTCAGTTGAGATAAATATTTCATATATATAATAACGCACTACTACATTCGTGGTAATTAACTCTATTGTGTTTAATATTATATTCATTATTCTTATATTTCGTTTATTTACCCTGATAGAAATATCAGAATTTTATATTTTCATATTTAATATGTTATATATTTCGGTGATTTAAAATTAAATATTGAACTTAAATTATTAGTTTAATTAGTTTAGAATAAAATTCTGATTAGAATTTGATTAGCTCTTTAAGTGCTAAGTAATTTTAAGTACTTCTTATTAATTAAGCATTTTTTAGAATAATGAATTTTGGAAGAAAATGCTTAGAATATTTATTTTTCTGTAAATTTAGTGTTTAGATTTATAATGTTTAGAATAAAAATTCGGTTTAGATATAAAATACATTTTTTAAAAAATTGCTTAGATCGACCTACATATAATATATACATGTTTCTACAAGAAAATTTTTATATTCTACTTATAATATTTATTTTTAGATAAAATTATTTAGAATTAATTTAGAATTTTTATTTATTTTTTAAACTACTTCCACACGAAATCTTTATTTTTTTTTAAAACAGCGTTTTATTTCGTGAAAATAAGCAAGAATATTTCTTATTTACATTCAGAATATTTTCTTATTAAAAATATTGTTTATAATCTTCTTAGATATAAATGATTTATTTTTAGAATAAAACTATTTAAACACAATTTAGAATTGTTTATTTTATTTATTAATTTTTTTTTTTTAAATCTGTTAAATCTGTTTAAAATTCGCTTAGATACAGAATACTTTAGAAGAAAATACATAAATTGCATTTAATCTCAGAATATTTAATTTATAAAAGAAAACTTCATTAAGGTTAAATAAATAAAACTCGATTATTTGTCGAAATTATACAATAAATTGAAGTATGATATATTTTGATTGCTATCACACAAACCGAATAATCGATACGAAGAATGCAAAGATACATTAAACATCTTGCATGGCTGAGCAATGCCACTCAGATAGCCTGAAGATAAGAATTGCAGCCAAGTTTAGACAGTAAATACATCTCTACTATTTACAGTAATATTGATGCAATTAAATCTCTCCCCGTTCTTTCTAATACTTACTTAAAAGATTAATTTAAATAAAAACTCAATAAAATAATAAATAATACAAATTAATTATAAATTCTAAATGCAAAACATGTTTACCATACTTTAACATAAAGTGTATACAGTACAGTATATAATGTTTATTTATTTTACTAAGCTCATTTATATTTTAAGGAACACGATTTTTTTCGAATAAATGAATTATTAATAAATAAAGCAATGTTAAAAATTTATTCTTATTTTTAAAAAACACTTGTAAATAATTAATTCCATTGTTAGAAAAGTATAACGCCTGGGGTTGCTATAGATTATAATTATAATTTGATATAAATACGTAAAGATTTTTAATAAAAATTCGACTTTTTTAAGTAAAATAATAATAACTTTATACTATAAAATTCTATTTTCTCCCTCGTATAATTCGATACGAGTATATATACTTGTATCTATACTTGAATATATATACTTGTGTTACTAGTAGTAGTAGTTATAGTAGTGTTGCATTCCTGATTGCTTGGAAAGATATGCTGAAGCTATTCCAACGATTTTTATCAATACAGCCACCATCTTCTTATGATAAGAAATCACGAAAAGTCAATTCACGTATGAATCCTCGAGAGCTTACCCTGGTAAGAATTGTCAGTAAAGCTTACCTCCTTCGGCTTCACACGTTAGAACTAGTGATTCGCCTTCATTGTAAGGTCCAATGAGTCCTTTCACTTGTTTCCCACTCGAATCTTTGATGACTGGCTTTGATGGAGGAACTGAACCATAAAAATAAAATTTTACTACTTATGACAAATAAAAAAAGGTAAAAAAATAATAATAAATAAAAAGTTAAATGTAATTAGCTTATTAGTTATTTATTTACTTTTTTTCCTATTTAAATTCTCAAATTATGATAAATTTCGCGGTTGACATTATCAAACCCGACCGTCGTTTACTAATTAAAACCTCTATTAACAGCGTCATCTGAGTAGGACGTTCGTGTCGATAATAGTCCAACTTAATTCACCAACACGTTCATATATATTCAGCTATGTTAAACAGTTAACTAGTAAATTATATTTTAACAAAACCAATAAATTTGATAACAGTTTAAAAATTTGTTAAAACTTTCATATAAAAATCAATAGTAGCTTATAAAGTGCGGTTGCAGTAGTAGTAGGAGGAGGAGGCTACATAACTACTGAATTATTTAGTTTCGTGCTTGGTCTTTATATATATATAAATATATAAAATAAAATAATAAAAAAATCTATAAGAATGATATTGTGTGAGGATAGTAATACGTCATGACAAGTTAAAATGGATTCCTAATGGATTACTGGTATCTGAATAATTTAATGACAGTTAGAGTTTAAAGTTAATGTAAGGTTGTTTAATTCAATAAATTTATTTTAAATATTTTATATACACACTGTCAAAGAAGAAGTTGCATCTTGAAAAAGCATTTAATGTCCTTTCTTTCTTTCTGTTTTTTTTTTTTTTTTTTTACCTAATATTAAGATAGAATGTTGAGGTAGAGTAATGCAACAGCCACCAGACACAAAGTGCTGAATCCATCGATTTGTCCAAATGTATAAGACCAGAAAGTATCTTTTTTTTAAGTATAGAATGTTTCAGATATATCTCTGTGATATTTCCCAACAGTATATGTTGTCATGATTCTGTTTTATGTAATGCATTGTTTGATAAATTGAGCGGTGCATTCGGGCAGGGATAATTGTTTGCAGCAAATAAAAATGGCTTTAAAATGCAGAAAAAAAATTAAAAAAAATTTAAATAAAGAGAGTAGAATTTCTCGTTTGGTAAACATAAATAATGATCTAAGCATACTTTATGCATACACATAAATATTTACACTAGTTAATGAACGTATCGATATCGTATAAACTGTACTTTATTATTTTGTACAGAACTCATTAACTAAACCCCATTGTAGATAAATATTTCATTTAAAAAAGTAATTTGATAATTATGTAGATGTTTGCTTGCGTGTTTAAAACAGAAAATTCAAAATATTGTAAAATCCATAATTCATCAGACTCTTTAAATAAAAGTTATTACTTATATCACGAGATTAAGTCAGCAGCTAAATAACTAAAATCACCATTTCTGTTAAACAATTAAAAAATATATATATACATATAAATATATATTTTTTACATTATTTCCTACAGTAATTAATTATTTTAGCATTCATTTATTTAAAAAAAACAGAGAAATGAATTAAAATATGATAACACGTTTCAACCATAAAGATAAAAAAAATTTGCAAACTCATGAAAGCTTACAATTTGTTTTAAAATTAATAACATTTACCTTCATTTATCAAGAATATTGCATTAAAATAAAAATGAAAAAATGTAAAAAAAGTTTCGCAGTTTTGGCAATAATTCGATATAACTAGATAAATGAACTTCGATGTGGGAGCAATTTTCTACACTATTTAAATTTTCTGCTCTTCGTCACTTCAGCTAAATATATTCTCAATTTTTAATATTTCTTTTTTTTGTTTCTGCTTTTTATTTATGTCTAATGTTTTTATCGTTTTCTTCGATACAAATTTTGTATGTAATAAGCTTGCTGTAATTAGTTTTAATTCCGTTGATAATTAGAAAACGAAATTTAAATATGCATGTAATGTTTCTCAACTGGTGAGTCGCGAACACTTACACGTCTCAAGTCAATGTTATGAATATACTACTTATAAACTAATATTATAAATGTTCTAATGTAATAATATTATAGATAGACTTTTGATATGTTGTTTAATTTGCTGCTAATATTACATGTGCACTTCTAGTACAGTAATGTTATAAATGTTCTTATAGTACACTAAGACTATTTACATTATAATGTTACAAATATACTTATAAAATACTATTGTTTGCATTCCCAAATGCACCTACACACCTATACACACACACCCATACACACACGCTTTTAGTACATTAACATTACGAATGTTCTAATACACTAATAAACCTGTGTAAACAGGTTTTACTGGCTTTACTGTAGTAAGACCTTTAATACGTCAAATTAGGAAAATTGAACCTGTCGAATTTTCCTAATTTGAGATATTAGAAGAAGAAAACAAAAGTTTATTCGTTTATTCAACTTAAAAAATAATAATTTATAACGCTTACAAATTCAACAATTATCTAAATTTTCATTACATTTTACTTCGTTTTTAAAAGAATTGCATTCCGAATTGATACTGTGAAAACTATAAATTACATTTTTTGTGATAACTCAGGATATATTTTTTTCCTTCTTAATTGAAGTTTTAGACTATTTACAAAAAATTAAATTTTTCGAGTCTATCTTTTAAATCCTTTATACACCACCACAGAAGTAACAGTTTTTTAAATTGCTTTGAAGAAAAACTTCTTAATGAAGAAAACACTTCTAAAACAAGGTAAAACTTGGTAGAAAAGTCCAATCTGTAGAGGATGGATAGGGTGCTTGTACAGTACCTGTCGTTCTCTCCTGTACAGGTGTGATACCACACACACTACACAAAAGCCTGGGAACATTACAATTGAGTAGAAATACATACATCACACTACAGAAGGCCACTATATTGAATACATGCCACACTGTAAGGAAATTCCTGAATACAGACACACACACTGACACACTTATTTAATTTTAGTTTTGTTTTGGTTGCTATGCCTTGACTTTGGTTCGGTATAGTACACAGCCACCGGTGTGAACCGAGTATAACTCACAAAACCCAACATAATAATAATATTAAAAAAAGACACCAGAGAAAAAATATATTCTAGAAAATTTCCACAAAATATCCAAGAAAACGTTTCTATATTGTTTAGATTTTACTTTTTGATCAAGTCAATAAATTCGAACGTTTGAGAATGTTTTATTTTATTGTATTGAATCAACTAATACATAATTTACAAGTAACAAATGTTGGAATTTTCTTATTTTTCACATTTTAATTTAAATATTTTAACTCTCGTATATATGGAAAACAAACACAACTTTAGATATTACCAAACATAAAATTTACTTTAAAATAAAATTATTAATGTTGTATTTTCCGAAAAAGAAATTTGAAATTTCTACAGAAACTCTTGTGATTGCTCTTTCTATTTATAGAAAGTTTCCCTTTTATCTTATACAAAGTTTAAGTTAAAATTATAAAAAGTATGACTTTAACACGTATATAATGCATAATAATATAATAAATTTTATTTGGTATGCTTCATTCGAATCTTATGTATACCTTATTCTAAAAAAAATAATCCCAAAAAACGCAGATTTTACGGTTTCTTTACGTACAGACACACATACGCACACACACATATATAATGTGCTTGAGAATTTAGTTTTTTAAGAAGCGTTTATATTTAAGAATATTTTAGTTCGTAAAATGTAAACATTTTATATATTGTTCTGTTGTTTTTTCAGGGGGAAAAACTATATTTTGTTTTAGTATTTTGTAACATCTGCACAACTTTTTGTTTACAATAAACAATATTTGTAGAAATCTTCCCCCTCTCTCTTTATTGTCTGATACCATTTCTAAGATTAAAGCCCTCGGGATGTCAAAATTCTTCATTTATTTTTTTATTTTTTGAATTTAAATCATTTTTAAATAATACTAAGCTTAATTTCTTACAATATAAATACTATACACTGTACAGTACATTCTACATAAAAAACAAATATATAGCAACTGAGGTGAGCTAAATATGATTTTAAAGTACGAAATTCTTATAAAAATTGAATTAATTGATTAAACTATATTTACTAACACATTAAAATTAAACTTTATTAATATAAATTTATCTTATCTTCTAAATTCCATTATAATCTTCGAAGCATCACCTATGTACTTGAATTGGTAGTTCTGTCAATATTATGATTGTATCAATACCGGATTATCTAAATATTTAAAGCTCATATGTATACAATATCAATTTTAAATAACTTATCTTAAAATGTCATTAATTTATAAGTTACATTTTGTATTCTTATTTAGAAAATTTTAAATTTCTTAACACAAAACATTTAATATTTTTTGTTTTTTTGTGATAAATATGTAAATAATTTATTATAACTTTAGTATTTTTTAACATATGTATCTAGTATAAAATGAGTGTTTCTTATATATAATTTACATGAAATTTGTTTATTTTTCTTACATTTTCTTTTCTGTAGAAGCTTAAATTATACAATTTTCAATTTTAAAGCTTTCTCTTTCGATAATGCTGTATCAACTTTTCTCCTTATATCATGCCATTTAAATTATTTATTATTGGTAAAAGCGTTTAAATTATTTATTTTAAAGAATTTCTGTATAGGAAAATGTTATTTTTGAATTCGAAAATATATTTATAGTCCATATTTTTATCAAAGAAAAGCAGAAAAACTCAATGTGGCCGCCCCGTTGGTCGGGTGCAAATGCAATACTGACTACCAATGTCTTGCAAAAGCCACTCGGCCACTGGTGGACATCAAGAAATGAATACGCACAATTAAAATATATGACTTTTTACTATTTTTTAAAATTAATCTACCTCTTTTCATATTTTTTTTTTTTTTAAATGAAGGCATCAGTCTATCCTCATATTAATGACTTACAATCAAATCTTTATTTACAAAAGTTTTCTCTTCCTGTATCATCATCACATATATAAAATTCATGTGAATGGAAAAAAAAAAAAAATTCACTGTAAATAATAAGGTAGAGTCCAAAGCATTTTTTTAATATGAAATTAATTTCGAGTTGCTC